GCAGGCGGCGGCAGGCGGCGGGGCGCCATGCCCACCCTCAGGTAACGCCGAGCCCCGCCGCGGCTCCTCGGGGAACCAGCGGGCGGCGGGGCGGGCGCCGCGTCCCTCCCTGCATCTCTCCATCCCTCCTTCCACCCCCGGTCCCCTCGGTCCCAGGCGTGCGGGGGAGCCCCGCACCGGCAGCCCCGCTCCGCTGCGCTGCGCCCAGGAGGCGGCGGTGCCCGGGCACAACGAGCTCCCCGCAGGGCTGGGCGAGCCCCGGCCTCGCCGCCCCCGCACGCAGCCCCCGCTCGCTGCCCGGCATCCAGGTGCCGGCGGCCGCCGTGGCCGCGGTGCTGTCGGGGCGAGCAGCGCCGGGTCCGTGCCTGGAGGCGCGCCGGGGTGAGCCACCCTGCCCGGTCCTGCCCAGCCTCGCTGGGCTGCCTGAGGGGTCCCTGCCGCGTGCCCCCGTGGCAGCGCTGCCTCCTTTAGGCTGGGTGTGTGAGCACCCACCGCTGTCTGGCTGCAGAAGGCCACCAAAGTTTGGTGGTGGATGCTGTCTTCGCTGAAGATGCTCCAGAAAGCCGGCGTGTGGGCAGGCAGCTCCTTCGCCACGTGCTGCCCGTACCTCAGACCTGAACGAGGACAGCGCGGGCATTTGGGTGCTGTCCGCTGAGGTGGCTGGCTGGAGGTGGGGGAAGCTCAGGAACCACACGGTGACAGCTCTGAAGTGGTTTCAGCGTCAGAGGGCCAGCAGCGAACGCCGTGTAACTCACCTAGTAATTACGTTGTGTAGGGAGGCGCGGTGAGAGAGGAAAGCTGTTAGTCAAAAGCTTCTGGCTGTTCAGATGCGGCTGGTGTGGTGCTGCTTGGTTTCATCAACCCGTGTGAGGGATCTTTGGTGAATCCAGACCTTGTGTTACGTAAGGTCTGACTGTGCTCCCGTGCGACTGAAGTAAAAGCGCTTCGAACGTGCCTGGTTTGGCGTTACTCCTTAGGGTAGGATCGTGCCCTATAGGTGTACCTGAGCTGTCAGGTTTTACAAATCGTCACCTTACATTGGTAAATGGAAGGCTGGGCGTACAGCAGGCGGTGCATTGAGGTTCTGTCACGCAGCCGGGACACCCAAGTTTCCCAATCGTGTTTTATTATGGCTTTTTGACTGTAAAGTGAGTCAGCATAATAATTTATTTCTGTGTACGTTACAGCTGCACAGCAGGATGAGGTTGTCACAGACTAATAAAAAAGGTGGATTTATCAACTTAGCTCCCATTGCTATTTGTTGCTATTATGTAGACGAGAGTATCTTTGCGGCAATTAACAAGAGAAAATGTGAAATGCTTTTTAAGAGGTAATGGAATTTTTTTTTTAAGCAAGAAATGCTGTAGCCAAGTGCTCAAACTATTCCTCTATCTGTGTACCAGTGCCCAGTGCTTTCACTGACATTTTGATGCTGCTGTTCCAATCAAGTGCGCAGTAGTTATCGGTGATAACAGAATTGGATGATACTTAGACATGGTACTGCCAGTGTTCAGCTGCCAGCTAGAGGCAGAACTTTATTTTTAAAGATGCCAGGAGCAGCATAATGATTATTAATATATGACCAGGATTTCAGACACAGCTTTTCAGATCATTCAGTTGTGGTTAGTGTTGTTGATCTCTTTCAAAATGGTTGAAGGGCAGCTCAGTACTGATGGCTTTTTTTGTTTGTTTAGGTTGTTTTGTTTTTACATTCCACCAGTTTAGTTGCGCTCCGTTATTTCTGCAAATTGTGGTGAGGAGAGAGTCCTGTGTGATGGGCTCTGTCTATTTGTGAAAGATTAATGGTGATCTCCTCTCAAAATGCCGTAATTAGGAGATGAAGATACATTTAATGGATTACATGGAACTTATAATTAAAACTAACTCTTCATCCAGTCCAGTGGTAAATGACAAACTCATTAAAATACATTACTTCTTGCCAAGCATTTAGAATGCAAATGCATCCTAAGCCGTCTAATGCATCTAAGCTTTCTGTCAAGCAGGCTGGCGTTGTTCGTGTAGTTTTGTCTACGACGCGGATGGCATATTTCTGTGTCCGAACAAGCCTTAGATTTGTATCAACATCTTGTTCTTGTATATGTACTGTATGCATATGCCTATTGCATATGCATGTATATATACACACCCACACATTGGTATTGATATAGTCAGATGTACGTCATTAATTTTTGCAGGTGGAGGGCTTATCACTTGTTTCTTGAAGAGATAAATGTTCTTTTGCAATAGGTTAGTCAAATTAGACAGGAACATCCTTCTGGAATGAGTAGATACCATCACTTGCGTGCAGGAGACGGGACTGGATGGAGTCAAGGAGGCTGCGGTGTGCATAAGTGTTTGTTCCATGTCTGATGCAGAGGTGTATTACTCAAATAACCAGCATATTGTGAAATCTAACATTGGAGCAATCTCTTGCTGCTTCCTTGCTATTTTATATCTAGATGGTCACAAATAATCTGTGAAGCTTTGATCAGTCCAGGTGTCCAGTGTGACTGAGAAGCAGACACAAGGCCAGTAAGGTTCACATGTGGTGTTGAAAGCATTAAACTCAGTGAGAATGTAACATTCCAGCATCTCTGATGCTTGCTTTGGTGATTTGTAAACTTAGTGTCCTACAGGATCCTAAATTTATGTTTGTTTATGTGTTTTTGCTCTTTAAAGTCAGCTATTGTATATGTGACATATTCTTTTCTTACTGTCGGTACAGAGGGGTGCATTACAGCTGAGTAACTGCCTACCTCATCTGATGCCACAAATGAAGCAGCAGTGTAACAGGGCAGGCAATTTGCAGCCCTTCAAGCAGGGAAGGGTGATTTGCAGTGTAATGAAGTGCAACTTGCACACTACTGAAATGTAGCGTTAGGTTAATCACGTTGAATGTCCTAAGGGTTTACACTGCAAGGTCTTAAACAGTAGAAACACTGGAGTCTTCGTATGGTGGTTTGCAAATCTAGTATTAGAAAATGCTGATCGCAGTGTTGTCAGCTTTAACTTGTTCAATTTTTTAAATGTGACTTTTATTTAAGAGATTGTTTAGACTCTTCCTATTTAATCCAAGAATCCAAGAAGGTATTTTTACAATACTCGGTGTGATATGATTACCGTCTCCAGTACAAATGGAGCTTGTGATTCTTTATTAATTGTATTTTTTTTTTCCCCTTTCCTGTTTGCAAATGATAGCGTGCAGTTTTAAGCGTGCAGTTCTAGTATCTTGGGACTTCCTTAATTCAAACATCCAGCTGAAGTAACTGAAAATGTAGAAACATCTGTTAATTAAAGACACAAGGCTAGCTGCTAGTATATATTAGTTCGTGTCTTCAGCTTATTTGCAAAAATAAGTTGTGTTACATCTTCCACACCTATCTTTTCTTGAAACTTTGCATCCCCGATGGCACCTTACTACACAGTCTCGAGTGTACTTGAGAGGGGGTGATTGTAAAAACCATTGGGAGAATGAAAACTTGAGGATAGAACAGGACTGTCCGGGATAGACCAGGGTAGAATGGGTCCTATGATACTACTGATGAAGTAGTTTTTAAAATGTAAAAATGTCCCATCTAGGGGCTCTGACTGCAATCGCCTTTATCCTTATGTTGTCTTAACTTGAATCTGTCTTCCCCTCCTCTTTTCTTCCACCTGTGTATAACCTAGCATTATTTTGATCTGCTTTTTGTGTTTTAGTATTTACCAAAAACAGCGCTTCTCACACTAGCAGAAATACTTGGAAATACATATTTTTTTTTTACCAAGCAGATTTTGCCTGCTTCAGTTATAAGTGAGCTCTATTTCTGTCTCAGTCTTCCACATGAACTTGGCAATACAGTGAACTGGAATGTGAAGGCCTCTCTTTAAAGCTACAACAAAAAATAAGCTACGTCAGGCATGGTTTGCTACATCTCCATCAAGGGTGTTAATCATGTTGGCCACTTCTTCATTTCTGGACTTCAGAATTTAACATGTAGCAGAGACTAATATGGCATCCTAAAGAAGAGGAAGCGTGACTGTGTTTTTGGCAAGCATCTCCAAGTTTGACAAATATTTGTCAGCTAAGGGCCTTTCTTGTTAGCTGTGAGAGGAAGTACGTGGTTGAGTTTCCAGGCTCTGTTGGATGCAGTTCGGGAGGTTGTTCCGTGCCATCTCCCTTCTGCTTGTTCTGTCTTCTGTTTTCTTATCTTGCTGAATAGAAGTTAATGAAATCCACCATTTAGTGGACAGATGTCGTGTCTGTAAAACATTTCTCCTGCTCTAAAGGGGCCAAAACAATTGGAAACTCATTGGGTTTGAGATTCAGCTGATAGCGTTATCCAGCTTTGAGCATTCAGTTAGTGAAGGCTGCAGTAGTGCTATTTGGGGGATGGAGAGACCGGGAATCTGCTTCCTCTGCTAATGCTTAACAGGGGCTTGGTAAAGAGGGAGACTTATTTGGTGGCGTTGATACCAACACTACCTTTGGTAGCAAGTGCTTGTCCTGCCAGCTGTAGGCAGCAGGTGTTGGCTTAGCAAGGAATGTGGTGGTTTTGAATGTTGTTTTAGGCAGCCTTAGAGAATGGCTGCATTCACTCCCAGTTGACATTAGGCCATGTATCTAATCCCTGGGTATTAGTGCATTATCGCCCAAATGTGTGCTTGTCAGGAAAATGTAATACGTGATTTCTGGATGGGTCTTCGAAAAATAAAATAACAAAAGCCAGCTCATTCAGTTGTTGACAGTATCTACTGATGGCTTGTTTTTATGTGGTGAAAGTCGTAATGAATTTCAGTTTGATCAAAAAGCGAGAATGAATGTTCTTCATAGGAGGCATTGCATCCTGAAATGGCTGACAATGCAGAATCCATAGGCTCTTAATCTCAGTTGATTAAAACACACTTTTTGTTCCTCGGTTGTATTAAAGAAAAACTTCCCTCTCTAATAAAAGATTAAATAAAATAAATCTTCAATGTACTGTATTAAAGTAACTTTAAAATAATTGGTTCTCTTACAGTGAAAATGTCCTGTTTGGCATGGGAAATCCTCTGCTTGACATCTGTGCGGTTGTGGACAAGGACTTCCTTGACAAGTAAGTCTTGACTTTTTTCTCTCTTTTTTTTTTTTTTTTTTTTTTTTGTCAGTTCTGTTTCCAGAATGATGCCTATTAAGAGGACTAAGTAATGCTGAGTTTACACTGACTTCTGAGGGATTTTTGGCTTTTCCTCAAAGAATATTTATTCCATCAGTCATTTTATTGTTCTGGCCAGATGAAGTTGTGGTGGTGGTGTCAGTGAACAACTTCAGTGTTTCAGAATGTGTTTTTAGTACTATTTTTTTTTTCCTACCAATTATATATTCTGGTCTTTTAGTGTAATCTTTGGTTGGCTTTAATTGGAAGCAATCATTAATGTCAGTGTGATGCATTTACCTGTTGTATAAATGTGCTGTTTTTAATATATTGTTACAGCACTCTTTTTCTCTTTGTTTGGTAATGAATTTGGGGGCAAATGACCCATTTCTGTAACAACAAGAAAAGTTATGCATGTGTACTTCAATTTTTAGATTTCATTTCAATTTATCAGTAAAGACCAGGACCACTGTTATCAGGAAGCCTGTTATCTTACATAAGCCTAGTTGTTATGCTACCATCCATATAACCGTATCACTGAATTACTGTTTGTATATTCCTGGTAGCGTTGAGATTACTCATTCTCAGATCAGTTTATAGAGATGTGGCTCTTCCAGAGTTGTAAAATGTAGCTGTTCTGTTAGATTCTTCAGCATGAGCTCAGTTTATTCCACTTGGTGCTGCTTTGTGTCTCTAGTTTTCAAGTGATAAGTCAGAAAGTTGATTTCGTCTTTCAAAGTGCTCTGCTCACTATTCTTTGTTTCATTTTAAAAGTACTCCTTTTCTCTAGTCATTTTGTGTTTTTAATGGGAACACCTGATCAGGAATAAATTTCTAATCACTAAATAAATAACAGGTGCAGAGTTTGAATATGTATTGTCAGCCACAAATCTTTTGTTATGAAGCTTTGTTAAACACAATAATGTATTTGTTTTGCAGCTGATATTTTTATCACTCAAATTTACGTATGCAAATTTGAGTCCTGTCAGACGAGTTAAACTATCTCCTGGAACATCATCTGCTTTGTGAGCATTTCTTAACTGCCAAAATGCCTCTGTGGAGCATTGAATTATTTAAAGCAATAAGCAGTCCTCCAGCAGTTTCACAGGGGACCTGCAGACAGTGTGATAGCTCTGCTAATAACCTGGAAACTGGGAAGCTTGTCTACGCTCTTCTTACGTACCTGATTTTTCTTCTAGCTTCCTGTTTGTCAGTGTGTGTGCATTGTTGTCCACTTAAAAAATGGACAAGCACACTTCAAGTCCAACTGTGTTTGCAGTACTTCCTGAAGTAGGAATCAAATCCCATGCATCCTCAGACTGTGAGAGGAAACGAAGTAGCTAACCTAGTTATTTTAGAAGTCCTAGAATTAAGTTTTTCAAATACTTCAGGGAGGTGGAAGAACACGAGTGTTTCGGGACTGCAAAGCACTTGACAGACCCTGTTGATCATACCAGCCAAATTTCTGTTTTTCCTTGTCGAAGAAGGCATGTGGCCATCTCTAGCCCCATAGGGTTAGCTCTTGGTGTCTTGGCAACAATCGATCACTTCTGGAGTCTCTCACCTCGTCAACTAGATTAGTGTTTCAGTGGGACCATGAGGCCAGCTGGGCTTTGACTTGAGAGTATGAAAAGAGGCTGTTCTGTTCCTTTCAGTCCAATCTCCTCTCTTGTAAAACCACTCTTTTAAGAGTAAATACCTTTGTTTGGAATAAAGGGCTTGATCTTGTGAGTTTAATCAACGTCTTTTGTCAATGAAATAAGAGAATGTTAAAATGAGTCCTGCTAGCCAGATGATTTTTGTAACTTCTATTAATAAAATGGAAACAGTATAAGATTGTGTAGGAAGTCTCAAATAATCCTTTGAACAATATATAAACTGTGTACACACCATTTTACAAACAAACTTGAGAATAAACACATAATAGCAGTCCTACCACTGGCAGATGCAAAACAACTTGCTGCCATGCAATACTGGCTTGAAGAAACAAGCAGTGTTGGAGGGTTGGGTTTGTGTTTTTGCCTTGGGTTATTAACATAGCCCTATCACTTTTCTTTCAAAGTTGAATTTTGGTTTCATCTGGACTTGGGCCGAAGTCTTCAGTATCTTGACAATTTTGGAAAGCTTTAAGCCTTTCATAGACTCTTTCTATGAGAGGTGGTCTTGATTTATGTCACAACAGAACTTGACTGTGTCAGTCAGTTTTTCAGACCGCAGCAGCAGTCTGGTATTACCTGAGCCAGGGAAATCACGGCCTCTGGCAGGGAGTTAGTTTTTTTTGATCTTATCTCTGGGGAGACAGTCTGAAAAGTTTAGCAATGTCTATGGTACTACTGAAGGCTGGTGATATCCAAAACCACTTCAGATTCTGTTCACACAACTGGCGAGCAGTCTTTTGAAGACCCCCTTCCGTCCTCCCCCCTTTTTTCCTGAATATCTGCATGAAAGAAATATAGATGGATAGTTTTCTGCATGTCATTCTAATTTGGATTAACCCAATATTTTTTTTACGCCTTCATTTTTTTGCGGATATAGATACTTGATGAAAATGGAGATTTTTATGGGTGGGAGAGGAAAGAAAGAAGGGGAGATGCTTTGTGGGTGAATTGTTGACTATAGCCATGTTAATCTGTGAAAGTAACTTTGCTAAGAGGTGTTATTAAAGCTTTCAGTGTAATTTGTTTACTAGATTCTACGTGTGACATTCAACAGAAATGAATCCTTTACCTATGGAATTTGTAACAGGCATTTAAGTATAACTTCATAGGATTTAATATGTCATATAGATTAAAACAGACAAAGAAATTCTGTTTAACCAATGCTCATGCTTTAAAACCACTTTCCAGAGAAACTCAGTACCTCTAACTTTTGGAAATGCTCCTATACCCTGCTGTTAGGAGATAGCATCTGTTTCATTGCTCTCCGTAGAAGGAGCAGCACTCTTTAGCAGATAGGTAATTTTTAACATTTCCTTAACTATAGTTGAACTGTTGAGGCTATAGAGATCTGGTCATTATTTGTCATCTCAAGTGCACATCCAGCAGTCGTAAAGCATGTGTTCACAGAATGGGAACCACAGCTGTGGACTTTGCTGCCAGATTTAGGTGAAAAATACAACTTTAAGCCTTTTCACCTTCATTAATGTGTTTAGTTTGACTTTGGGTACCTTGTCAACTCCCTAGGATGTGTTAGCAGGTATTTGCATTGCTTTAAGTTAGGGACTATATTACCTGCCCATACTATGCTGAACGTATGGAAAGTACATAGTACATAAAGTACTAAAAAAAAAAAACCAAAAAACAAACAAACAACAAAAAAAACCACAAACAACATATCGTCCCTGGAGATTTACCTTTTTAAAAAATGTTTGCTATAATGTTCCATTGTTTAAATAATCCTAGTGAAAGATCACTACTGAAAGGTAGGTGTTGTGTTGGCTCATTGGGTAGAGAAACTGAACAGCTGAGGGTTTTATTAGCTTCTGGTTTGAGTTGTATCCGTAGAACCCAATTTAGCTTATCTCAGGGTGTGAACATAAAACACTGTTGATAGTGTTGAGCTAAATTGCATCATCTGACTGCTGTTAAATTTAAAAAAAAAACAAAAAACAACGCTTACAAAAACTTAAGGTACTGATGGCTGTCTTTAAAAGGACCTCTCTGTACTAATGGGCCTATAAATTTGGTAGCATGCCTGACAACTTAGAACTTCCTACAAGCCTGATAATTTTTCCTAGTGCATTTAGTTAAATGTCTAGTTTAAATGAGAGAAAGATTTTAGTTAAGTTTCATTTGGAAAAAGCTATATGAAAGCTCTACCTAAGACAGAGCTCTGACCAAGGAGTTGTGACGCTTCCAGGGTACACTGAGCTTGAGCAATGATTCCAGAAGAGCTTTTAATTACTGATGTACCACTTATGTACCTGGAAGAGCTTGTAATTACTTATGTACTTGTAAATAGTATGAACATGCCCATGAATATGAAATAACCCCCTTCTTGACAACTCATTAATGTACCAGGGGTTTTCACTTCTTGTACTTGTTTGTAACTTCAATTTTTTATTTTTTTTTTCTTCAGAAAACTAATTTCATTACGTGTCAATAGAATATGAACAGTTCTTGGATTAATTGTTTTCTTTAGAATGACCTTGAGACATGAGTGACTGACATGTATGCAGCTTAGCTGTATTTTTCACTTCACTCCCAAATAAAAACTTTGTTTAAAAAAAAAAAAAAAACTTTGGGAATTGTGTTAGAAGGCAAATACTGGAATTTTAAACCGGGTCTTTTTTGCCTCCTCTAACTGTAACAAAGAATTAGCAGCAAACAGGGAACTGTAGGTGAAAGAGCTCTGTGAATGAAGTTGGTCTGTTTTTACTAGGCAGTAATAGTAAATGAAAGGACCCTTGCTGAAGATACCTTTGATAAAGCTGAGTTTCTCACTGAGGAACTAACATCGCTCTAAAACAAGATGGTGAAAGCTTCTCTTTGGAAGCAGGACTTGACGTTTGTACTGAAGAAGACTTCATCTTGGTTTCCTAATGGGACACTTAAGATTGCTATTTGTTCAGAGTACAGTAGATAAAAATCATTTACTTGATAATGGTGATGGTTGCAGGCATTCATGTTAATTACAGGATAATAAGATGTGATTCTAAGACTGTCTTCTACTCCCATCCTTCTTCTCCAAACCAAAATAGCCAACAGTATAGGAAAGGTACAATTTTTTATTTTTTTTCCCTGTTGTGGAAAGTAGTGAAAATTTGATCCCTCGTGAATTGAAAAACAGAAAAATCCAGTTAAAATTAAAAATAATTTGTCATTTAAAAAAAAAAACAACTGTAGGTGAAGTTCATTTGTGATGGAATTGTCTCAAAAGACAAATTTTAAATGATAGCAGTTCTTAAGTGGTTGTCATGTCTTTTTTTTAAATTAAAAAAAAAAAAAAGCCAAACACACAAA